CCCGAAACGTCAGCCTTCCTGCTCCTCTGATGCTGCTTGGCCTGCTGTGTTCATCCAGCTCTACACCTTGTTATCTCAGATTCTCCAGCATCTGCAGTTCCTACTATCTCGGGGTCAAAACATTGTGTGATTTCAAGAAGTAGTTGGGTGTAACACTTAGGGCCAAAGGGATCAAATGGTATGGGGGGATAAGCAGGAATGGACGATTAAGTTGGATGATCAGCCACAAATGGCAGAACAGGCTCAAAGGGCCAAATGGCCTATTCCTGCTCCTATTCTCTATGTTTGAATATATCTTTGACACACATCATTCACATCAGTCTATCTGAAATAAGGTTGAAACAGTCATCGGTGATTATAGCTCCAGAGAGAACACTGTGGAGGACTACCACATTGCTGAAAACCAATTCTACAAATGATTTTTTAAAAATTGAGTCGGATTCTTGACAGGAACTGACTAGGTTACAGACAAAAGGCGATGGCGTTGTATGTGAACAATACCCGCACTGGCTCTCTGCCAGAAGTCCCATTTCATCCCACCTCCTCCGTTAGCCTTTCAACATTCTCTTCCTTAACTCTTCACCGAGTTTTTCTTTTAAATGTCATTCTCTTTTTCTCATTGGAAATTCCGACAACTGACATCTCTCTACTCCAACCACCACATGAAAAAACCTTTAGACTTTCAGTGATGGTGTTATGTCTTTTTCCCCCTATTCACCCACACTGGAAATAACTGATTGCTCATTTATCCAGCATATGCCTATTCAATCTCTGAACTCAATCCCATGTTGCTGATCTGTTTCTGTATCTACCACAGTTCTATCTTCCTTACAATCTACATCCGACATGATGCTATCAATCCACACTCATACATTTTTCCATTGACCTCAACATTGTCAAATCTCAAAGGCTTCATGGGAGAAGGAGTTGCAGAATTCACCTTCTGTACGCAGAGGTGCTCTTTAACATTGTTCCGAAATGGCTTTGTTCCTGTTGAAGATCCAGCCACCCCTCATTCTGGGTTCCCAACCACCACATCCCACCCCTAAACAACCAGCGTCATTAGCTTGTCTTTCCAGTCCTTTAATGAGATGAAGAGTCACCTTTATGTCACATCTTCATTTCCCACGCGCAGGAGAACACAAGCCCAGACTGTATGACATGGATACTGTCACCTTTTCAACAATTAGAATTAGAACACAGTTTTATTGTCACCTGTTCCCCCAAGACCCAGTCCTGCTTCTTCAGTCTTTCACCCAGAGACTTCCAGCTCTCTCAGATTCTGCAGCATCTCTCCTTCTCCTTCATCTCAGAGGTCTTAGACCCAGTCCACTCCCTACCTTAGCTTGTGACCACAACTACACATAACTGTAACAGAAACCCAAACAACACCTCACCATGTCCCTCTCTGAAGTGGGACAAATCTCATGCAGTCACAGAGAGCCGCAGCAAAGAAAAAGGCCTTTCAGCCCATCCAGTCCACACTGGTCAAAAACAACAATTCCTATCCCATCTTCCAACACTTGGTCCGTAGCTTTGTATGGCTTGGCATCACAAGTGCACATCTTAATACTTATTAGATTTTATAAAGGTTTATACCTCTACCACCCATATAGATGGGGAGTTCCAGGCTCCTCTGGCTGAAAATGTTTGTCCTCACACCCCCTCTAAACCACTTGCTCCTTACCTTCAATCAATGCCCTCCTGTCCCTCCAACAAGGGGAGAACTTCCTTCCTGTCTTCACTGTCCATGTCTCTCATAATTGTACACATCTCAATCATGTCCTGATTGTGCGGCTTATTCCATGTATCCATGGTGTTTTACTTTTATTTAACATGGACGGGCATTTTTTTTGTTATTGTGGGTGTCAGTGGCAAGGCTTGTTCCCCATTCCCAATTACGTTCAAAATGTGAGGCTCACTAGGACCATATGAGAGTTAAGTGTCCATGTGGACTCGGCTGAGGTAGCTCAATTCCTTCCCTAAAGGGTCTTAGTAAATCCGAAGGCTTTTAAAAATGAGAATCAATGATATATTCATGGTCAAGTCAGCATTACTGGGGCTAGTTTATTTTTCATTACTAATTGAATTCAAATTCCACCAAATGCCAGAGTGGGATTTGAACTCCACCCTCTGGAAATTACCTCAAACCCACATAGTCTTTAAACTGATCAGTAAACCCACTAATCCATGACAAATTGACAAACAAAATAGTTTAGACTGATGCCTTAAAGTTTGAAAAAAAGAGGTGAGAGAGAGCAGATTAAAGTTCCTGAGCAGAATATCACAGATTGAGTTAATGATCACATATAACCTACAGCAAGTAACCTCCAGCAGTTTCCCCAGACTGCACAGTCACAAAGAAAGTCAAATTACCATCCTCAGGACTAGGAGGAAGGAATGAACTCTGAGAAATGCAGCCACATCCCTGAATAATGGAGATGCCTAACCTTCAAGAGGAGGTGATGGCCTCGAACTAAAGTCACCGGGCCAGCAATCCAATCTCCCAGTTTAATGTCATGGGGAAATGGGTTTGTATCTCACCATGGCAACGGGTGAAATTTGAATTCGATAAAATCCAGAATGAAAAGCTGGCCTAATGCTGACCATTGTCAATTGTCATTAAAAAAGTCTGATTCACTCAAGCCCTTTAGGGAAGGAAATCCGCCATCTTTCCCTGGTCTGGCCTACATGTGAATTAGGATCCACAGCGGTGTGGCTGACTCTAATGGCCCTCTGAAAAGGCTGTTCTTGGGTCAAGGCAACGAGTGATGGGCAACGAATGCTCGCCATGATTATTTCATATGGTTTTAATTCACTGAAACTTGATATATTGGACAGGGATACTAAAGCTCAGTGATTTGATATAATTGGAGGGAAAGGGAGACACTGATTAATTCTCTTCAATAATACATATGAACAGAAGTAGGCCACTCTGCACATCGAGTCTGCTCTGCCATTCATGAGATCATGGCTGACCTAATAATCCCCAACTTCTGCCTTTCCCCAAAACCCTTGATTCCCTGACTGACTAGAAATCTTTCTATCACAGCCTTGAACCAACTTAATGACCCATCCCCGACAGCCCTCTGCAGTAAAGAATTCCACCAATTCACTTCCCTCAGAGAGAAGAAATTCCTCCTCATCTCTGACTTAAATGGCCAACCCTTTGTTCTGAGATAATGCTCCCTGGTCCTCGACTCTTCTACATCAGAAAACGGCCTTTCCACATCTACACTGACAAATCCTCTAAGAATCTTGTATTGCCTGTATTGTAACCTTACATCAATTATTACAGACTCTTGCCATATGAAGGTTCACAAGGTTGGTTCCTGGGATATTGTCTGAGGAGCAATTGAATAGAATGGATTATACTCTCTGGAATTTAGAAGAAGGAATGTTCTCTCTTTGAAATGATTCTGAGAGGGCTTGACAGCCTAGAGATTGAGAACATAGCACTGTAGGCTCAGGAGAGGGTCATGGCCACAGGACTGAGATAAGGAGAAATTCCTTAGTGAATTCTTTGGCATCCTCTACTCCGCAGCTTGTGGATCTCCATGGGTGAGAATATTCAGGAGAGAAGTTGAAAGATTTTTTTGAACTAAATGTGAGTCAGGCGACATAGAGATTAAATGGGAAGATCAGGTTTGGAGGAAAGAGGGGTCAGCCATGACTTTATTGAATAGCACAGCAGACTGGAGGGGAGAATGTAACCGACTCCTGCTCCTCTTACTGATGTAACAGAGAATTGGAATCTGTGCCGTGACTGAGAAAAGGGAAGGAATTACCACTTTGAGGTCCAGATTGGATCACTTATTGACTACTGAACTGATGTGTATAGAGTTTCTAACAAAGAGTCATAAAGCTGTACAATACAGAAACAGACCCTTCAGTCTAACGTGTCCATGCTGACCAGATATCCTAAATTAATCTAGTCCCATTTGCCAGCATTTGGCACATGTCCCGCTAAGCCCTTCCTATTCATATTCCCACCCAAATGTCTCTTAAATGCTATAATTGTACCAGCCTCCACCACTTCCCCTGGCAGCTCCTTCCATACACGAACCACCCTCTGTGTGAAAAAGTTGCCCCTTAGCTCCCCTTTTAAATCTTTCCCCTCTCACCTTAAACCGATGGCCTCTAGTTTTGGACTCCCCTACCCTGGGGAAAAGACCTTGCCTATTCACCCTGTCAATGCCCCTTATGATGTTGTAAACCTCGAGAAGGTCTGGTCCCATCTCTCCTGGCTACCAGCCCTGGTTTGTGCATTCAGAACACCCCTTTTCTTCAGCTCGGCTTTGCCTTTTTCTACCAAAATCAAAAGTTCTTAAATTCCGAATCCCTCCTTTTTCTGACCCTGTTTTCCCCCACCCTCCTCCCGAATTGCTGATGGGTTTAAATTTCCCCTCACGCCATTCTGGATATGACTGACTTTCAGACAGTGAATCATCCCATTTCTGATCAGCCAATGAATCGGAAAAAATAGAGTGAATAAAATCAAGAGGGTTGGGGATATAGCCATATCTTAAAAAGTAAAAGTAACTTTGATATTCACATCTGAACTTTAAAAAAAAGTCTCTCTCTCTCTCTCTCTAACCCTCCCAGTTTCATGGTACATACAGCCTTCCTCTCGGGGCTGGGTCAGAGACAGGGTAATTCCCAGCCGGCACTTCAAATACCTCGCGGTGTCAAACTGTGAGGCAGATGCAGGTTGAGAGTGTCAGAGAGACAGCCGCAGATACAGAGGCAATGAGCAGTGAGCAGATGCTATCAGAGCTGGAGAGTGGCAGGGAGCTGGCCTCAGAGAACACCCAGCAGAGTGCCCGCTGCCTCAAACTGCTCAGCGCCTTCGCTGTTATTGCCCTTGTCGCTGGTTGCGGATATCTCCTGTTCACTCAGGGACAATCGTCAACATCAAGCCATTCAAACTGGGTAAGGCAAGGCTGATATTTAAGTCCTCAAACGTTTGATTTTAATATCCTTTCCTAAAGTCTGTTAAGTCTCCTTCCTGTCCTTGATAATTTTAAGCACGTTCAATCCTTTTGAGCTTTGGAAGGTAGATCTATTGCCTGTAAATGATTTAGTTGAATTTCACTCCCCCTGTGGATTTGGTCTCTGGGCTGTGAGGGTTAATTTCTCGCTGATTCCTCTCTGCGCCGGTAGGTAGCGCTATTTCCACGCGCTTACGCCTGAGTTGCGCTAGCGCCGGGAAAAGCGTGCGTCTGCAGCTTGCTCTGAATCCAGTTATCCAGTTTCCGCCCTTTCCCGGCCAGAGGCGGTGGGAGTGAGGGACCTGCACTCCCATCCAGTCTCCATGTGGCTGTAATCCTCAGTCTGCTGGTCTAGGGAAGGCTGGAAGCTGCGTGGTTTAAAGGGTAGGATGAGACTCACTCCTTCCCCCCCCCCCCCCACCGACTGGAACTGCAGCAAGTCCAAGAACACATTGCTGGACCCAGAGCTCCATTCTGTCTGCCTCCTGCCCCGCTGTGTGATCCGGTGGACACTGCAATGCCATAGCGCCTGCGATTGAGTCAAGGTTAGCTGCAGTTGAATACCGACCCCCCGATCCCGTGCCTACCCGCTGAGCTGAGCAGTGATTCGGAAACTTCAGCTTGAATGTCCGGCTTACTCTTCAATTCTCTGTTCCTTTCTGCAGAAGGCTACACTGAGAGGCGCTGAAGATGTGTCTGCCAACAGCGGTGAGTTCTCTCTGTACCTATCTCTCTCTCTCTTTCCCCCTCTTTCTCATCATCTCTCCTTCTGTCTCTGTTTGTGTGTGTGTCCCTCTTTCCAACGTTCCCCTTTTCTCTCTCTCTGTCCCCGCTTGTCTCTCTCTTTCTAATTCTCTATATTCTTTCTCTCTGTCAGTCTCCCTCTTACCCACAGCCCCTATTCTCACTCTCAGTTCCTGTCTGTCCGTCTGTCTGTACCTCTCTGTTTCTGTATGTCTTTCTATAACTGGCCCTATCTGTTCCCGATTTATTCACTTTCTCTGTCTCGTGTCTCTTCCTGTCTTGTTTGACTTTTCTCTTTCTCTGTCTGCCTGTCTCTCTTTGCCGCTGCCTGTCTCTCTTTGCCGCTGCCTG